TCATGAGTGCAATAAGTTTGTTTACATCCGGAAGATGGCACTTCATGGCGGTGTTTCTGATTGGAGGACCCCATGTCCTAAGCGACTTTTTAGGTAGGAAAACAAAACTTGCCGGAATTATCTTTTGAGCCTTTTGAATGATGATGCATTGATATGACCACCCAGAATAGGAACTACACTCCCAAGGGATACCATAGGAAAAAAAGCAATGATCCATCACTTGATGCATAATTGTATTGTTTTTGAATGGTAAAAATTGCATTTCTCCAATTCAAAAATTATTACCGTTCAAAAGGCGGGCAGGATATTTGCTGCACGCTTAATAGATCAGTTGTACGGTTGAGTCCCTCAGTGCAAATCATTCTTCTGCAAATATTATTTTATGTACTTTTTCCCTGCGGAAAATTGAAATATGGACACTTGCTATGTGGTTTGATACATTCATTGGATAATGGTCTGTTTCTCAGGAGCATCACTTCAATGCCTCATTTTGGACAGGACATTTTCCCAAACAGTTTTCACTGTCATAAAAAAGAGAAAAGGAAAACAATAGGCACTCAGGTACGTCACGAAATATCAATACATATTTTAAGACTCATGATTGTATCAAATTTCACTTTTGGACATACTTTTTCTGATTCAATGCATTTTTTTTACCATTTACCAGAAGACGTAGAAATATATTATTTCCTTGAGGAAGATTTCAATGAATGATTATTCTTAAGGAAATCCTATTTTGAAGGTTCAATTCTTTGACATCAACAAATTTTGAGATACGTTTCCGAGACACCTTTACCTTACGCGGACTCTGGCATCCATGGAATGTTACATTTTCCTCTAGATCTTTAAGCGCTACCGCGCCTTTCTTCAACCCCTATCCGCCACCAAAGTCAACCTCCTTGTATTTATCTATAAGTACATGAACAGGACCGAAATTTGACATGCCTCTTCCTCTCTCAACTCAGAATTGCTCCAGCAAATTTGAAGCTAAATCTATTCTGGGTTGTGGCGATCACTGAATCTCGCTTTTGGAAGATGTCAATCTCTTCCGTTTCTTTTTCTGGGGCTTTTTGTAAATTTTTTTGTTCTAATTAATGGGACCTCATTTTGCCCCCAAAATTAGGTCACATTAAAATGCATATATATGGAGACTTGTGGGAGAGATGAAAAAAAAACTGGTTGAAAATGGTTTCTTTAAATCGATTCCTCTACACGGAGGACAATTTCCGTAAATATCCAAGATGATGGATCTCACTCTGGTCGATTGGGCGCGGAATGACCCCATAGCGTCTCGTATAAAAATCAAAAGTTCGTGTTCAATATATATTTACAGCTTATGGAAATGGAAAGTTTTTGAAGCTCAACAGTTGAAGATCGTGATTGTGGTCGAAACTATGCAGAAAAACTTCTACGATAAGTGATCATCATTTGTTTCACATAGGACCGCAAATTATGAGGCTATGTATTGAATATTAGTGTTATTACAATAATCAATTACGTAATTACAACACTGTAAAGGCTATCTTTAATCGAATTGATCTCAATATTTCAGTGAACAAGCACATAATGTACGGTACTTGAGAAAGCGCATGAATAAATTAGAGAATGATATCAACAGCTGTCCCCTGTATGCTCTTATCATTTACCCCACTCGAAGGACTCCCGTACTTTTCGTCCATTACCAGCTGTCGCAATCTTAAACTTGCTGCGTGTTCCTTTCATCACGCTGATCGAGTCTGTCTCCTTGACCCATGATGGATTTCTCTGAGCGTACTTCGAACTTTCCGCCATGGTCTGGCAACCAAATCTACCACATTGCTAACAAATACTCGGCAGTTCGAAAACACGAGAAGTTCATCTGAAAGTGAGGATGTATGACTGTTCAATAGAAGTTGTGAAGCAGTTCCCGTGCGTGAAATTCAAACAATGTTTCCGATTCACTCGCAGAGACATTAATCAAAGAACGAGGAGAAATTGAAAGACGCATGGCAGACATGTGAGCCAAATGCTGAACTCATTCGTGCACTCTTGAAGCACGTTCCACATTTTGCTCATGTGGGCATTTTTTGTGAGAACGTAAAGTTTCATGGAATGGTCATTTATTAAAGCACGATTCCAGTTGCTGAGAGGGTTGGTTCAATGGCACACATTCCATATGGTTCGTCGATGTTAGGGAGTATTGTATCTTTCAACACGATAGCTGGAAAATTTAGGAATGGGAGCTTGTGTATCGCATCTTTCCCCTAGCAACATATATGCTCCAGCAAGCCATATCAGAACGAGCTCAATATCTTCGAACACTCCACGCAATATTTCAACAGCATAGATGATTACTCCATAATGGTCATCTAGTTCATGGAACACTATCAGCTGCAGAATTTCCGGATTGTGAAACACGTCAGGATACATAGAGCAACGACAGGAAATTCTGTAGTTTTCCATTTATTTCTTTATATTCACACAAAATGACGGCGTAAAGATCCAACTACTCTGCTGGCAAGCAAGACTGAGTCTCAAAAGATGTAGCACTTAATTTTTGTATTTTAGAATGTTGTGCTTCTCTCATATAGCACAAAGCTACAAAGTTAAGAGACAAAACTAGCAAAACACGTCCAGATCCCAAGTTCAAAGGTTTGACCTTCTTTCACGCCATTGTCCCTCTAACCCTTAACTGCAACTGCATCCTATAAATGCTGAGATGAGCTTTGAACCAACCTTTTGAATGTTTTATTTACCTTTTGCGTGAGGGACCAGAAGGTGGCGACATTGCTGGTTGATCCGATGATCACTTACAGTTCGAGAGTGAGCGATGCGAAGGAAGAAATCGAACTATTATATCCATTATCTAAGAATTGATTATCGTCGCCAAGATTATAGGCTCCTATCTCCACTAAGTATGACGGTTTGCGATCATTCATCTTATCATGGTATTCCACTTGTATTATATATAAGCGAACATGAGTAGCTGCCTGGCATAAGTCGCATGCTGAACTGATGAAAAATTCTNTATGAACTTCTGTAGCGAAATAAATATTTGCATATTTAGGAAAATTTCCGTCTAAAATCCTAGGACCACTTGGCGTGGACAGACCCAAATGTCCGTATGGATATTATTGAAAATAGAACACTGCAACCCCAAAAATTGTGCCCCAATGGCATGTTTTGCCAAAGTAGAATTTTTCATCAGTTCAGCATGCGACTTATGCCAGGCAGCTACTCATGTTCGCTTATATATAATACAAGTGGAATACCATGATAAGATGAATGATCGCAAACCGTCATACTTAGTGGAGATAGGAGCCTATAATCTTGGCGACGATAATCAATTCTTAGATAATGGATATAATAGTTCGATTTCTTCCTTCGCATCGCTCACTCTCGAACTGTAAGTGATCATCGGATCAACCAGCAATGTCGCCACCTTCTGGTCCCTCACGCAAAAGGTAAATAAAACATTCAAAAGGTTGGTTCAAAGCTCATCTCAGCATTTATAGGATGCAGTTGCAGTTAAGGGTTGCATGCAGTATGTTGGCCATATTGTAAGACAATGAAGTAGATGTAAACCTTTCCTGGTTGAAGTTTATATTGTTTTAATTTCGTTTTGGTTCATTTTCCACGTTTTCCTTGATGCTATAGGCGTAGATCAGGAACAAAATTGTAATTTTCAGGCTCGTAGACAATCGGTCTTAATAAAGTTACCAAACAAACTGATAATATCCCAAGACCTTATTCACGGATTAGCGAGTTGATCATGTTTGGTAATTAGGAAAGATAGGCATGTGGTGATCGCTGCTAAAGTAGTTATGAATACTGGTTTTCGGAAAAAATGCAGGCAAAGGCACTCGGGAACCCTTCTCAGTTGGATCATTCTGACGAGAATAAATTAGTCCGTTTATAAGGATTTCAGCACAAATCGACATAAGTTGATAGGTCGATGGTGCGGGTCATAGGAGGCTGAATATACCAAGTGATATCTTTCTAAATCAGGGAGCCCAAGTTAAGAGTTTCATCATTGTCGACAAGATTGAAGGTGTTATGGTGAAATGAGAGTATCCATGATCATCTGTGATAAAAGCTTCAAACATGCTCATTGTGTTCACTGTAGTGAGTGGGATAGGTACGAGTGAGGTAAAGGGGGGAAGGTGAAAGGGCAACAAATATGCTGGCGATTCATCCATCAGAACCGATTACAGCCTGTAACCGTCAACTCAGTGGTAGCTCAGTGAATGGGGGCTCGGGCTAGTACGCGGGAGGTCCAGGTTCGAATCTGACCTGCGGCAGGCGGTATTCTCCTGGGCTGAAAGCCCACCCGGCTGCTTTTGGGTACTACCTGCTCCCCTTGGTCTCAAGCAAAGGCCACTCTGCTCCATTGTGCGAGGAGTACGGGTTTGGTGCGCTTGAATGGCTCTGGACATATCTGCCCTGGCGGACCGATGTGCAGTGATGGAGGACATTCAGGCCTAAGTAGCATCGAAGTTGCCGTCACCTGCCTCAGCCGTGAAAACGGGATACACCGAACTAGAACCCCTTTCCCCTCTTCGTATTTTTTGGACGCATGTGGCATTTGTCCTTGTCTGTATGTGTCCGTACCAGTCCTTCACAGGGAATGTATCTACAGTACTTGATATTTGAATGTAACTCTAAATGGAGGGTCGCTATGTGGAAAATCAAATCCTGAGAACAGATGAGCTCTTTGAGGATCATGACTTATTTAGAAGGCAATTTTGTAGATCTGCAGATTCGAGGAAGGTAAAAAATCACATCCATCCTAAAATCTCACCAAAGAAGAAGTGCTCCCCCGCGTCCACGTCGACAAGCGCACCAGGGAATCATCAACAAAATGGAAATGGTATGGACTCCCTTGAAATAAGAGCAATACGACTTAGTGAACTTCAAATAAATATATTTTTTTTTTTTTTACATGGTTATCGTAGGCTGGCATGTCTATGCAAACGGGAGGGGGATGCAAACGGAGCCTCAGGCGTCATCTCACTCGACTCGTGCATCTCACAGCAAGTGCAGGTAAGAATTTTGTGATCATGGCAATGCTTTTGGAAATGTTCATGTTCAATTGCTGAGATAGAAAACAGACAGCCATAAGAGCCAATGCGCTTTCTGGAGATAGCAAGTAATCCAGTCGTTTAGGACGTCAACGGATAAAAATCATGTTTCAAGATGAGCTACGCAACGCACATAGCTTCGCGCCTCCTCAGTTCATAAAATTTGCCCAAATAATGCTGGAAACTGTATTAGAAAATTCGGTAGCAATGAAGAGTGAACTAAGAGAAGACTGGCACAATATTTAAATCGCTGGGAATGGCAAAAAAAATACGAGTCCTCATCATACGCCACTGTCTACCAAGTTGCTCGACCGTTACCACGCCACATTGACACTTTCGTTTCCGTTTTCCATTCATATCCTTCAATTCTAGGCCCTTCTAGGATCACCTCACTTACGCTTAGGATCACGGAAACTCTTTCATATGAGAGGCTAGCAGACAGTAATGAAGAAGGTACGGCAATAAAGATTATGGCCATTATTATCAAGAACGATGCAAGGCAAAGCAGGAACGTAGAATTAGGTACATACTTGTATTTCATACGGACAAAGGTGTGTCATTAAATGCGTTCGTTGAAAAGGCACTTTTCAACAATATTGGAAAATTATGGTCAACATATGTACCCTTATTATCTCCATTCGGAAGGTACGGATGGGATTTTTCGTTTAGAGTCCGATGTGTACTTTATGGACGTTTGCTTTTGCACCTCAATTTTCAGCTTTGATGAACCCTTCAAGTGAGCTTTTATGACACCATCATCCGACATCACGGCTCCGACTATCGGAGAATTGCCGCAGATAAACCGTGATGGCTCGACAAGATCTCCATGATACAATCGGAAGTGCTGGCTTCTCACGGTTACATAAGCGCCTTTGCCAGTTTTCCTGGAGACAGTAGGTGGCAAATCCACACCTGTTTTAAGGACGATCTTTCCAGTTCATTGAAGGTTCGCGCTAATACTTCTAAGAGTAAAAACTCCTAACCAGTGAGTTTAAACTTCTCTGTCTGCGTGCAAAACCCAGACTATGTGCAGACTATCAGGGTGAGGTTCCTGCTGCAGGTGACAGTGTTACACGTCGTGAGAGACTTCTCAGTGCGAGCATTAGCGAGGAACTCCAAGCCACCTCTTTAGTTCCGTAGCACTTTAGGCTCATACCCGTTTCCGAAAAATTGAAATAAATTTCAAAATGACTCATGAAAGACTAGACGGTGGGCTCCATGCATGGCGAATGGACAATATTGCCATAAAAAAATTAGATGGAAGTAAGAAAAGAGAGAGGACCATCTCATTTCTCTGCATCGAGCCATGCAGAGAAAACCGACAAAAGATCTGACGGGTAGGAGAAGAAGGCAGCGTCATTTACCTTCTTTTCTTAACAAGCAGGCCTCTTCCACATAGGATCCTCATTGAGAGTTTCATTACGGAGCAACCATAAGACAAAATATATTGAGGCAACCTCAGGTTCTTATTGCCTGGCTATTGAGAGGTACGTTTCAGCTCCAATCAACAGGTTTATGAATGCTTGAAGTTGAATCAAGTTGAATCATGAACTAAGTAGACTCTTGATTTGAGGGTTTTCAACCTTTCTTCTTAATATGGAACTAACTCAAGGTACATTTTCCATTTCAGTCTTACCGAGAACATGACGAATCCGATTAAACGTCTCAGAAGTATACTATCTGAGAAAGGAACCATCATCGACATGGACGATTTTCTCCTTAATCTCTATGAAAAAGACCTCATTTCTGTTTCGCAAGAAAATGACATTAAGAAGATGAAGAACTATTCAGAGAAAATGTATGCCATTTTCACCATACTTCTCGGGAAAAACCCTTCTTCAACACAGGGAAAACTACTTAACGTTATTGAAGCGATGCACAGGGAGGACATCATAGATCGTTGGGAAAATGACTCTGGTTTGTTATACGTTTCTTTTCTCGTTCCTGGAGGAGTTATTCCTATGCCGTTCAATTCATTCATTGCGTCGATAGCGATTGGTGAAAATCCGATTTCCCGACGGGATTTCCTGCTGGCGAACGAGGGCATCTTGAAAGAACATATGAATGTTGAGGTAGTGTCAACCGAACTGTTCAATTCGGGGGTGTTATCGCAAGCGGATCTCGACGAGATCATGACGCCACGGGAGAAGAGGGAGAAGAGGACTGTGTTGTGGACGAAACTACTGACTAAGATCGACCCGAGGAATTTCGAGATGCTCCTACAGGCACTCACGAAGGCTAAGCAAAAAGATGTAACTGAGGAACTTCGATCACAAGGTGAGCTGATTTTGATTATGAATGAGAAACTATGCTTTTTAGTGCAAATAAATTTTTTTTTTAATTATCATTCTCTCTTAACCCACAGAGCGCAGTATTTCTAGAGGGAAACCAAACATTGAAAATGACCTCTTGAACTCGTGAGTCATCTTGCTTTCAAATCTGACTCGTATGTGCACATTCCCTTTCCCCAACAATTTGTTTAAATAATCTATCCAGAATTCCCTCTGACGAGGACCTTAGACGGATCGCACCGAAACTGAAAGAATCATGGCATGAATGGGAATCCCTCGGGAGAGAACTGGGACTCGGTTCGGACGCGATCGACCGAATCAAGTCGAAGAGAGGGAACCACAACAGCGAATGTCCAATGAGGACGACGTATCTACTTCTGAGAGAGTGGAAGAAGTCCTCACCAAAGGACAGACCCTCCACGTTTCGGGCTCTCCACGAAGCCCTGTGCAACCAAGGCATGGACACAAGTGGTCTCATTGCCCTACTTTGCAGGAAGAATTGCGATGACATCAAGGAGTGCCTGTAGCGAATTTTGCCTTTCAATTTAGCGCGAGATTGGTCTGAGAAGGAATGGAAATCAGATTCATCGAAAGAGGAGTTTGGAGAGTGACAACAAAGTCACTTATGACGTTTCATGGCGGCACTGCTTCTAAATGTCATAATGCGACGGGAAATGGCTTCAATAGAGTGCGATTCATTACCTGGTATATAATCTATTTCGAAGGACCAATGCTCTCTGATGAATCGTGAAGGGAATTTGAAATTTTCAGGAAAGCTGTAAGAACTTGTCTCCATTGCAGACCGGTGAGAAGGGACAGTGAATTTCCTGAAATTCCAAAATTCCTAAGACTTCAAGGCTACTTCATGTCTACAAAGGAGAATAGTAAAATTAGGCACTTTTTGGAGATTACACTAATTATGCTCCAATACCCCGCAGTGTGAAAATGTCTTTTCACAATGGAGGCATGGGGTGATGTGCTATTTTATGGTTCATGAAAAGTGTAAATGTAAATTCCAAGCGTGTGACGTATTGGAAGAGGCTAATTCTAACCGGAGGACCTCGGTTGCTTCGCAACCTAAGTCCGGATGTTAAACACATAGCGTGTGCGATTCTGGCTACTAGCTTCGCCGAGCGACAATTGTATGTGTGTGTGTGTGCGTGTGTGTGACAGCTCTACAGAATAAAACGCCTAGAGATATGAACTTGGGGTTTTGACAGAATTCTTCCATGAGAGGGTGTCCCTTTGAGAAATTAAATTTGTAAATCGGCAATGGGAAAGAGAGGGGAGGCAATTTTGATTGGAAATCGGACATTAGCTCTCGCCTCGCCTTCTATCGGACGAACCTGGAAGCGAACGTTGCCCTGAATCTCAAAAGGGAAGGGTGGCATCGCTCACTGCACTGCCTCCCTCCTGGTACCATGAGTCCAGGGATCAAAGGTCCATGTTAGAAATGCTAGGCGATTCCTCAGCTCGTCGCCATATGCGTTCACACTGGCTTTCACAAAGAAATCCATCGCCCTAATTTTATCGTTTGTTTCCATGGCTGTAAATGCATATCTGCAGAATCGCATGAACGTAAAGAGGTCGGCAAGAGTGAGAGTTTTGCAAAGGATTGCATTGTTTTCCGTATCACAGTCGCATAGACTGAAGGCAAACAAATACAGTTGAACTGTTTGAAATCCGAAATCTTGCAATTTAATAGCAATACGGGGATTTCCTGATCGTCGTTGTACCGTGCGTTGCACATTACTTTCTTTTCATTCGTCTCCATTAGCATTCAATTACCTCGCTTCATTCACATGATCGGATGCTAAGGAAATTCAAGAGACCAATAAAGGCTGGAGGCTTTATGCAGTACATATGACATCGCACAAGTATCACGTCAATGCTTTGATGTCATGTGTCACAAAAAGCGACACATGAAAATTTTCAAGTTATGCACACTAGAAATTATAGAAGTAATGATTTTGATTTTTAAAAAATATATAGATTCTCGTCCCCATGTCACGTATTTCAACAGAGACGTACTTTAAATACTTGTTGCCATTACGCAAAGAATAAATGAATTATTCACTATCCCAGGTAATGGAGCGCTGAAGGCGCGACCATTGGGAGTTTGTTTGCCCGTTTGCTAGTATCTCATAATGTTGATGCCTTTCACAGGGTCAGCATCTGCAGTATATGAAACTAGCGAGTTTTTTTGCCCTTCGGGCAAACAAACTCACTACACCCGCGCCTTCGGCGCTCCATTACCTTGGATAGTGATTAATTCATTTTTCGCGAAATGGGAAACAAGTATTTAAAGTACATCCCCATTAAAATGCGTGAAATATGGGGTCAAAAGTCTTGATTTTTATCAAACTCTTTACTTCTTTGATTCTATGTGTGCCTAACTTGAAATCTTTTCTTGCGTCCCTTTTTGTAAGGGTGGAGAACACATTTTGAAATACTTCCCTCCAATAATCTACGCTAAGGAGACATATTTTAAAAGTATGATTTTTCCTGTACTCAGCCATTAAACAAACAGGTACTTCTGAGGGAAGTTTAAATTTTCTGTCTCAGTTTCGTTGGATCAAAAAAATAATTCAGGAAAATGGGACTTAAAAAAAAGAGCCCTGATGGGTTTTTGCGAACATTTAAAAAAAAAAGTAATTTGTTGTCCATTTCATGTATATTTTACACAAACCATCATCAAGATAATACCAACATCTTTGCAGAAATGTCACCTCTGTAATACGTAAACGGTGATATAACATTAATTAAAATTTTTAATAAAATTGACATCCCCGTTTACATCCCCAACATGTTTACATTCATTTTACATAAAATTGAAGTTAATTTCCCCCTAACATTCCTGCGCATTTAACAAACCAATTCGTAATTTTGAAGGGAATTGATATACTGTACTTCTCCCATTCTTTTCCATACTTTGGGACACAAAGTTACTTGGACGAGTACACAACTACTCATACTCACCAGCATTCAAGAATACCAAGATGACTCACTAGTTCCTCCTTCCGTACCAGGACCTCGGAAGGAGGAATAGATGTTTAGTGAAGCTCTCTTCCATTAAGGATAGAGAAAGGATAATACTTGTGGAGCTGGGTGTGTTTTTTAAGAATAGGAGCTAATGGAGGGACTGGCCCCTCTCCTTGATGGTGGGTACATCAGGAGTCCCGCCAGTGCCGGTGAAACCCTACTGCAATCGGGCTGGGAGGTGCAAGACCCCCTCGAAGCTGATTTAGACAATGGGAATGGCTCTCCATTGGTGAGGAAGCTCTAAATGCGAGGAAATGCCAACGGTGGTTCCAGATGTTCAGGTCTGGCGACTACAGCTTAGCCAATGAAGCGCTTCCAGGCCGACCTGTTGAGTTCGATGATGACCTGCAGATAGCCACACTTGAAGATTATCCTGCTAATGAATCTATTAAAAAATTTGAAGTTCACGAGAATGCTGTGAAGCGCATGTTTTCCCGATCTCTTAGATTGTCAGGGGACAACACATGTGAAACCCACTTTCCAAGTTTTGACACTTTTCCCAGCCGTTGTTTCCCGTCGTTTCCTAGCGGCAATGAACGGAGAAATGAGTCGAATTGTGTTTCTGGGCAACTTCTTCAACTGCTATAGCAGGATATTCTTCAAGTGTGGCTATCAGCAGGTCATCATCGAACTCAACAGGTCGGCCTGAAAGCGCTTCATCGGCTAAGCTGCAGTCGCCAGACCTGAACTTCTGGAACCACCGTTGGCATTTCCTCGCATTTAGAGCTTCCTCGCCAAAAACATCATGAATAGTTTTCGTGGCTGCAGTCACTTTATTCCATTTCTTAAATTCATGAAGCATTACATGCAGAATGTATTCCTCTGACACCTCCATCTTGTTATTAACGTCTAAGAAAAACGGAGCGCTGTTAACTCTTTAAAACCTATACATAGACCGAAGACTAACGTCTACACAAGTTAGCATAGAAATATTCCATGAGATTTGCAGATACACGTATAAACAAGACACAAGTTTGGCAATGCGAAAAAAACCGCATTACTTATAGGATGACATGGTAGCTTGCGGATCAAGTGTATGGGGTCTTGCGAAATCCACAATATTTTGGCTTGGACTCGAACCTGTGACACAAGCGCCTAGCGGATTGCGAGTTCAACACTGAAACCACTAGACCACCTCCCCTGCCCAAAAAAGCCTTTCCTTGAAATACACACTGTGCAGATGTTACTGCAGCAAGTCCGAGCTATAAGGGCGAGGCACGTGGAAAAAATTAGGGAGGAACCGTGTGGATTGCGAGCTCACATTGAAATACAGACTTTCCGAACCTGCTTTTCTTGGCAGGGGAGGTAGTCTAGTGGTTTCAGTGTTGGACTCGCAATCCGCTAGGCGCTTGTGTCACAGGTTCGAGTCCAAGCCATTCGCTGCCTTTAATACAGGTATCCTGTCCATCTTCTGGATACATTTGCAACATCTCTCGGCACCCTGATTTCTGAATTTACGCCGTGGGTCGTGTACTTAGAGCCATGCAAAGTATAATGTGGAAGGATGGTACGAGTAAGAAAACCTGATACTATATCAGGAAAACCAGTACTTAATAGCATTGATAGTGTGCAGGGAACAAGGGTTCCATCTAGTGAGGAATCTTGGTATTGCAACTGAGGGAATGTCTCATGATAATCCTTCGGCATGTCCATCGGATGACCTACTGCATGTCCGTTTTTTTGAAGATTAATTAGAGTTTTCGGATTCCCGTTCTCATTAGAAAGCTTTTGGATGACCATGGAGGGGTCAAACTATAGTAATCCTCAGATTGCAATGGAGTAAAATTTCCATGCACTTCAATATTCATAGCATTCTGAAGGGCATTGTTTCCATTTACATGTTTCACGTCTTTGGATTCATATATAAGGAGGGGCAGCATCTTTGACCTCACGTACGAGTATATGAGACATCGCAGTTCAGAAGTGGCAGGTTCATTCTTCCAAACGCCTGGAAGGTTCTAAAGGAGAGGAGTTAGTGTGGAAACTGAAAAAAATATTCTGATTGACTTCTTTCACTCTTCATCCTTGCCTCCTGATGAACAGATTCTGACAGTTTCGACTCATCCGATAAGGGGAACACTATTCTCTCCATGTATTGTGCAAGAATGGCCTGTGGTCTTCTTGAGCTGGGTTACGTCTCTCAAGAAATGTATTAATCTATGTAATAAAATCTACTATGGTTGGTGGTGGTCGGTAGTCCGTGACATGCGCGCGCACACATGACAAAGTTCGGATGACATAAGAGGACAAGAAGAAAATGGAGGGGTAAAAATCGAACTCAGGGCGTCTTGATATCCCGTCAAGTGTGCTACCACTACACCATCGAACCCAGGAATGGACATGCGGAACTATGTGACGGGTGCGCTACCTCTAGTTATTTCTTAGCTCAGAAACTAAGAGTAGTAACAGGTACACGCATCGTGTCATCCATATACTGTACATGAGAGGCTACATAAGTGGCTGTCAGTCAGTTATTCTGTCATTC